AATAATAACGCGCGAATCTTCAACGGATTCGCTTTTTTCAACAGATCAATCAAGGCCGTAACGAAAGATCCAGAAAGCCTTGGCCGATAACGTCATCGATATTACGCTTTTCATTTATGTGCCATGCGAGCCGAGAGGCCGAGAGTGACTCGTTTAGTTAATAAAGTCTCGATTCCCAGTTCGCTCGTTAATTCACCTCAGCTGACAAGCTGTCTCGTTCTCGGTATCCCGACAATTCGTCATTACCTGCGGACGTTGTCTGTCGGAGGCAGGACGCGCCTTGTTCCCGCCAAGGAATTGTGCGCGGCGATCTCTCAATCCACGTCTCCCCCAAAGTCGCTAGGAAATCCACGTTAGTCCGGCATTCGTTTCATCGTGAAATCAGAGTCTCACGCGGATGAGAGATCGACCTTGACGACTTCAGCCTTCGTTGCGGTTTCTCGACTGGAGCTTTCCGGAAAGATTCAGGATCACGAAAATCCTCGAGTTTCTTCTTCGTTCCCCGGGCCCTTCTCGAAACTCGCAACGGCTCCCACGCCGTTATATATTCCGCGATCTCCTGCGAGGAGACTCTAAGTTATCGCGGTGACTCGCATCCAGAGATGCGACGTCGATGATGTTCGTTCTCTTTTCCAGAGGAGAGTCCGAGCCGGACGTTCATTCGCGCTGTAGCAGCTCGTAGAGCGCGGCGATATAGGTTTGCGCCATTTGTAGCGTCTCGAACTTACTGAGCTTCCGGTCGTTACCGAGGCTGGGCACGACGTCCCGCAGTCTGTCGAAAGCGTCGTTCAAGCTGTTCATCCGCCTCCTTTCTCTGGCGTTCGCCGCTAGTCTCCTCTTCCTCAGCACCTCGATACCAGGCGCACTGTTCTTCATCTTTTGCATCGCGTCCTTGGACTTCTGGCCGGCATAGTCCGCCGGCAGAACGTGGAGCCCGTCGTTCCGCTGATGATATCGCGATTGATCGCACTTGATCTGCTGGCCGTTCGTCGTCAGACCGACATCGTTCCTCTGCACGGTGTATGTGGCGCCCAAGTAAAGCACATCCGTTCGCTGTGCGTAAGGGTGACCCTCGTTCCGCGACATGAAGCCGCTATTTTTCGCATAACTCTTCGTCGCAAAGACAGCCTCCTGGCTCTGAGTGTAATCGGCTCGGGAATTAGCGAAGACACCAACGGGATGATGATGCTCCATCTTCGGAGCGTATCCCGTCGGATCCTGCTTGCTCGCGGCGCCTTCGTTGAAGCCCATTCTAGACGGAACGTCGCCATAGTTCACGCACTGGTCGTTCATTCTGAAGATGACCTTGGAGTGGTGGTCCTTGACGCTCTTGGCGCCGTTGCCGTTCAACGGCTGATGCTCGTTACCGCGGCAGCCTTCCTGATAGTAACCCTCGTAGAAATCGGCGAAATTAAAGCCCGCGGTCACATGCAGACTGCCATTGGGGGCACCGCCAATTTCCTGGTACTCTTGCTGCTGGTGACTGTCCACGGAGCTGACACTGCCGCAGCTGCTGCCCCTGGAACGCGGCGGCTGCGGGTAGATCTCCTGGTGGTGCCAGTTACTGCGCGGGTTCGACTCCGGGCTGCTCGCGGACCCGTAACCCTCGGAGTCCAGGAGGTCGTACTGCTGGAAGGTCGCGTAGGAGGTCATTCTCGTGTGCGCGCGTTCAATGAATTTGATCTCCTTCGATCACCTGTGGCGATCTTATATCATAATGCGCGATCGAAGCGATCCCGGAGCGAATGGACGTCCCTTTCAAACGAGCGTCATCGTTTCTTTCTCTACATTTGATTGTCAATCCCGTGATCGAACGACTGATTATTCGTTCGATAAATCGATCGATGTCAACGACGATGTCGATAGGTACGTCGTCGAGGGAAATTGCCGAGGGAGTTGCGAGAATCGCGATATCTCTTCGTCGCGTTTACGTTGTTCTCGACGACTGGCACGTCTGTCAACCGTTCTGTCAGGCTTCCGTTTCTGAGGCTCTCCGGGATCCTTCTTCTGGATCGCCGTGTATGCTTCGCGTACGGAAGCGTTGCGTAAACTGGCTTTACCTGGCGATCTCGTGGTCTGGACCATGCTGCCCGGTTTTCTTGAGGCTCGCTGGTGGGGGACCGAGACGGACGGACCGACGGACGGACGAACTCCTGGGACCTACGTGGAAGGGGATCCCCGAGGAGTGGAAGGGGTCCACGGGGAAGTGGGCATCTCTTTGTAGAAGCCGCGCGACCGGACACGCCCCTCGTCTTCCTTCGTCTCTTCGCTGGAGGCTCCACCGGGCTCTCTGACGGAGTCAAAAGGCGATCGGCGAAAAAAGAAAAGCGCTCGATCAAGTGGCACGCACACGGTCACGGGACCGACCGACCGAGCGACCGACCGACCGACCGGGCGCCGCGTTCTTGACATTGGCGATGTGCAGTCGGCCGGCGAGCCACGGTTTCACGTACCCCACGCGCTCTTCTCGCGCTAATTGGATTTTGTTTCTCCCTTTTCTCGCGCGTTGCATCTCACGCGGACCGGCGACACTCGTGATTCTCCTTTCAAAGAACCGCGTGGCGTCGCGCCGATTCAATACGATTTAATCGCCGCTCAATCTCCAAACTTCCTCCGTCCCGTCGCTTGGTCTCACCTCCATCCTAGAGTGGTTGCTTCTGTTATTAATTATATCTCTCGGTTATTTGCACCTAATCGTCACGAAGTGTACCTGGAAGTATCGCGCGATATCTTAATAACGCACTTTCGGACATTCTTAGTTTGGGGGCCGAAGATGGAAATATGGACGGGTCGTAATACAGACGAAGCCGTCGAGTTTGAAACGATTAATATCGGCTAGTGATTTTGCGTAAATAGTAACTACCACTAGGACTTTCAATCATTGGCGTGGTGTCGATATATTTGAGTATTATAACTATTGATTATTCCAGGGTTGAGAAAATTACTTTGTAAAAGTATCTAGTTACAGTTACAGTTCTTTCACTGAAACAGTAATTAGTTACAGTTACAAGTTATTGACCTTCAAAAAAAACATGTTATAGTTATTTAGAAAGTAACGAGTCGTTATTTTTCAGTTACTTTTTTACTTAATAATTGTGCTGTTATTTTAAATTTCGTAATCGTATCAATTCCTTCAATTTTGTATAAAAGTAGTTTGTTGATTATTATATTCCTCATATTGTATATAATTGTTATAAATTAGATTCATTAATTTAAATAAGCAGTTTATATTTATTCTTTAAGATTATTAATAACAATTATAAGAAAATTAATGAATTTGATGAGAATAATAAATATTAAAAATTCTAAAAGTAATTTTAACATCAAAAACTAGACTTTTTCACTAAAAAATATATTGATATTTTATAAATAAAAACTTATACCCATATGTTTTCTTAAATTTGTAGTTGAAGTTCTACTTGCACGAATAACTTTTTTGTCAGTGCATATTTTGCAGAGAAAAGCCCAGTTGTTCTCGTTTCCAAATTTTTGCTGTAACTCGAATATTTCTGCATATGCTGGCCATGGCATTTTACAATCCTTCTCCGAAGATTGAGATGTTTTATCTAAACCACGCAGCGCATTTCACGTTGAACGCAGGTTACGTTAAGGATAAGGACTGATGACGCGCGACGGAAATGTCCAATGGGCGTACAATTTTTTTGAAAGAAATATAAATTGCGTTCGGAGAGGAGACTATCAGCGCTATTGCGTCATTTTATCCTTGTTTTATATCTAATGAACGATAAAGATAGATGACGCAATAGTGCGTTTTCTAAATGTAGCCAGAATAACTGTATGCTTATTGGATTATCAAACATCGCACGTCATGTTATCATGCTAGTTTGCCAGAAACTTAAGTTTGAAATATATAAAGTAACTATTAAATTATTATTATTGTTTGTTACTATTATTGTTTATTAGTTATTAAACAAATGTAACTAAGTTAAGTTACAGTTACAGATGGAAAACACGGAACAAAGTTAAGTTATAATTACCAAAAAAATAATTGTAACTGTAACTTCGTTACAAGTAACTAGTTACTTCCCAATCCTGTATTATTCCTAATTTTCATTAATAGTAACAATATATCAACTATTATTCATCAAAGATAGCATTTATCATGCATAAAGAAAGAAATAATACTTAATATATTTTTATAGCTTTTATCAAAAAATTAAGCACTTTTTGTATAAAATTTCAGATTTATTATTAGTAATCAATTTGTTAATATTAGTTGCTTACTACAGCATATACATTTAAAAAAGCAGACGGAATAAATAATTAGGCTGTAAAAATTGACATTGTTTAAACCAGAAAAAATAATGGATGACCTTAACATTCCGAGTCTGAGTTTCGATTCTGCATTAACTTTACATATATTCTTGCTCACAAGAATTTCACTATTACTAATAATAAAGATTAGAATAATAAAGCAACTAATACTAACAAATTGATCACTAATAATATATCTGAAATTTTATACAGAAAGTGTCTAATTTTTTTATTTAATAAAAAATTCAAATTATTGATTAATTATTCCAAGTATTAACAAATCTCATTTAAAGAATATAATTTATATGCGAAATTAAAATAAACGTGAGACTTTTTATAATGAAACTTTCGGTTTTGATTAAATTTTTTACTATTGAGTGATGAACATCTGATAATTCTGGATTATCTTGTGCATAGAAATATAACCGAGCATACATACACCTACGTATGTTGTTACGTCAATGTCCCGCGGGCTCGGTGCATGTTGGAGGGTACGCAACCTTCGAAGCAACAACACACAGATATAAGATGAATAAGCGATTATAACAGTCTTATGCTCGTTTCTGCCAATGTTAATTAAACCTAAATTTGAATTTAAATTCTATTCTATTAAATTCCAGAAAATAAAACAAAATATCCGTGTCTATAATTCATCTGACCCGAATTATCGCTCTTTATCGTTACAATTAACCAAGAACATTATTTTTTATCTCAGATCTGGCAGAACTTTCGATTACAGTGATGTCGATTACTTTGATGTTGTCGGGATGCGTTTCCGACGAATGCAAATGAGGTACCGGAGGTTCCGATTTAAGTCATGCAAAATCGGCTTGGGAGTAAATTTGTACGTACAATGTACTCTTTTTCTTAATATTTTATTTGAAATTCGAAATACAGGTGTTAAAGTAAATTTAATTACGATCGTATTAAATTTCTGCATTTATATTATACACGCCTTCGTTAAAATCAAGTTAGATTGATTTAATTTAATTTAACTTAATTTAAGCAAAATATTATTCTTTTGTTCTAAATTTGACTTGTTTAATGTAGCCAACTTTCTCTTCAAGATGTTTGATGAGGGAAAGAAACAGGATATAAAAATTTGAAATGGTGAGTTTATAATAGACGACGATAAGCACTTAGTAAAATTTGAAATTTGAAATTATTTGCTAATTATTATTATTTTACTAATAGAGTTTTGCATGTTCACATTTTTGTATACATAGTTAAAAACGTTTCGTACTTTTGTTAAAATTTTTTTATGTGTAGAAAGTTTTGTGTTAAATTTTTTACATAGTCGTGTGTTAATTTAACATATCGTTGTTGTGTTACTTAGATTTTCTCGTGTTATATTAAGATTAACTAGATTAACCCAGCTTCAGCTGAGGTAAATGAGTGAGGTATATTGTTTCTTATAGCTAATTGATATGCCATACGTTTCAAGTCTTTCAGTGTAAATCCATACAGCTTTTCTTCTATGAAAAGTAAGCTAATTGATACGCCATATGTTTCAAGTCTTTCAGTGTAAATCCATACAGCTTTTCTTCTATGAAAAGTAAGTATTGTACGAGTTTCTTTTCAAGTTCCTCTCCTAATATAGGCTTTCTTCCTAATTTTTTCCTTGCAACTTCATGTGAAGATAAGCCATTGTTTTTACACAGTCTTTGTAAAATTGTGCGAGGAACATTAAAATATTTCGATGCCTTTAATATTCCCATTTTCTTCTTCCTAACTGCATCGATAGCTTTCTCTATATTTTCAGCAATTCCATTTTAGAGAGTCGTGCCTATTGAGACTTTCGTTCGAAACGTCGAGGACCATAACATACTTCAATTCCATCCAATTTAACCGAGGACACATTCCCATAAGATCTGTGCGGGGTCCTTTCATTTCGTCGTTCGTTAAAGGAATTCAAAAGTCATTAAGTATTTGTTAGACATTGCTGAAAAGTGAACATCATTGTGTCGCGAATAATGTATGTTGTGTAGTGAACAATGCTACGAAGAATGCAAAGGAACTACGATGCTACTTCCGGATATTGAGAGATACAGCATTTGATGAATGGAACTGATGAACTTTATGGAACATCGGTGGATGTCAACGGAAAATGGTGAGAATGTCAACAATATTTTGAATACAATTTGAACAAAATTTGAATGTTAACAATATATTATACAGGGTCTGCCAAAAGTTCCGGAACGGCTAATTATTTCAAAAAATAATGATTGTTTAAAACAATGTTTAAAACAAAAGTTGTAGGGCTTAAAAAAGCTACCAGATATTGATAATTGTTTGACCTTGGAATGACTTTAAGAAACGTTATCAAGGTCGACATAAAAATCTTAAATAGAAACTCAAATTTTTTATTACAGTGTTTTTTTCCACCAATTAATTTGAACAACTTTTGTCTGAAAAATTTTTTTATTTGCCTAATATTTTTGGAGATATTTAAGGATAACT